CGTGAGCGAGGCTGACACCATGGCACTCTAGCCCGGGTGACAGAGTGAGACTCTGTCTCAAAAAAACCCCAAACTGTTTTTGTACAACAGCAGAATCACACGGAGTACCCCAAAAGCGGCAGCAACCCGAATGCCCGTCACCTGGCGGCCGGAGAAGCGGACGAGACGCCTCCCACCACGGCTGCGGGCCGCCCGCGCCCTCCGACCCCACACACGTCCGCCGCGCCACCCAAGGGCTGCGGCCGCCCGCGCCCTCCGACCCCACACGCGAGGCGGGCGCGCCCCACGGGATGTCCGCCGCGCCACCTAGGGCTGCGGGCCGCCCGCGCGCGTCCGGGCCTGCAGCAGCCGGGCAAGCCTCCAGTGGAGGGCGCCCGTCGTGCAGCTTTCCTGCCCGCAACCTCAGACTCCGGGGCTCAAGCGATCCTCCTGCCTCAGCCTCCCGAGTAGCTGGGACTACAGGCACGCGCCACCATGCCCGGCTCATTTTTTGTATATATGTTTTTAGTTTGCCAATTAATTTCAGTTTTTTTCAGTAGAGACGGGGTCTCGCCTCTTGCTCAGGCTGATCTCAAACTCCTGACCTTGAGCGATCCTCCCGCCTCGGCCTCCCGGAGTGCTGGGATGACAGGCGTGAGCCTGTCTCTGCCCCTGCCCCACCCGTAACGCTGGTCAGTCTCCCCACGCGGGCAGGTGGCCGCTGCACATGCTCCCGGGAGAGCTCCTCCTCCCCACAGGCAGGCCGGCGCCCAGACCCTCGGGGTCGGGACGGGAGCCCGGAGGGGCGAGGCTGGGTGACCTTGGGCGAGAGAAGGCGGCGATGGGCCTCAGTGGGGCGTCCAGGACCGGAGGGGCAGGGGTGGATCTGGGGGCTGCGGGTCCCAGCGACCACCGGGGACCCTGCCGTAGGCGGTGTCTGGGACACTGGGGGTGCTTGGGGTCCAGGGTGGCGGAGAGGGAGGAGGTGCGTCCCTGCCCCTCTGGCTCCAGGTCCTTTCTGAGATGCCGCCGGAAGGCTGACCTCGGAATAGCTGACGCATCAGTATTTATTTTGACCTCCTTTGTGTATTTTTTCTCTTCTTTTTAAGAGACAGGACCTTCCTTTGTTGTACAGGCTGGAGCGCAGTGGCAGGATGGTCATTAGCTCACTGCAGCTTCCAACCCCCCGGCTCAGCCTCCTGAGTAGCTGGGACTGCAGGCGCAAGCCCCCACACACAGCTAGTTTTTTTTTATTTTTGTAGAGACAGGGTCTCACTCTGTTGCCAGGCTGGTCTCAAACTCCCGGCCTCAAGCCATCCTCCCGCCTCGGCCTCCCCAAAGTGCCTAGATTTACAGGTGTGAGCTGCTGCACCTGGCCTGAAAACACTCTTTATCCTGCTCCTTATAGGAAGTGAGTCTTTGGCTTACTAGGTGTCTTTATTGACATTTTTCCTTTTTATTTTTTTCTGTAGGATTCTGTTTCACTGAGACCCTCGATCCGATTTCAAGGAAGCCAAGGGGTGAGTCATCTTTGTCTCTCTTGCGTTTGGAGCCGTGGGACAGGTGCATCTGAGGCCTGCGCCCCCTCGCGGGGCAGCAGCAGGCCGGGGCGGCGTGTTGGAGCCGTGGGAGACAGGTGCATCTGAGGCCTGCACCCCCTCGCGGGGCAGCAGCAGGCCGGGGCGGCGTGTTGGAAGCTGTGGGGACAGTCGTGCATCTGAGGCGGC